TCAAACCTCCAAATATTCTATGGTATTCTCCAAAGTCAAGACTACACCAGTGGGTGGGCACCTTCTTTTAATTAATCAAGAAACTAATTCTTGAACTGGACAATTGAAAAATCAGAAAAATAATTTTTTCTCTTCGAAATTTGAACACCGTAGAATTATGTATTATGAATATTATACAATTCCATTCCATAGGATGTCTCCAATCCATCTAATCTTTATTTATAGAAATAGAAGAGTTCCAATCCTTATACAATAATAATTTCACATTCAAATGGGAGTCCTAATTAAAATTAAAGTCCAAATCCAATTAGTTTACATTTAATTACACGTGTAGTCCTAGAACTTTAGTTACAACTATAATTAAGTTTACAACTTTCGTAGTAATTACAACTAAGTATAAAACTTTATTGTAATTATAATTAAGTCCAAAACTATTGATAATTACCGTAATTAAGTTTCAATACTTTATGGAGCTACCATAGAAATCGAATAGGACATATATTATCCAATTTTCAATAAGTCAACCCTGTCTAATTATTTGTTTTTATTTTTTCTACTAAAGACAAAAGATTGAACTCTCGGAATATATAAGATCACATACGCCAATAAATCTGTAATACTTTCCTCTGGCCTACTGTACACACATTTTATTCGCGTCCGAAATTCAATAATTAGGTACGAGCATAAATGATCGTTTTCCCCTTCTAATTATTCTTACCAACTTAAGTTTCATTTTCTTCAACGATCCTGTGAACTAATTATAGATGTCGAAGTTTACCCGTCGCTAGACATTGAACTCAAATTTTAACCTTTTAATAGAAAATACTTAAGTAATCACTTTACCCATTTTCCAGGGTGATGTTCCCGACACGAATTCATGTTCTCTACTTCGCTCATTCTCAAGTTCTCAATTCATCGAGATATTTGACCAATCAAATTGATCTCACTCATTGATAAATCAAAGAACCATTAAAATCACGAAAAGATATACATAGTCTTGTCAAGGGATTTAGATGAAATACATGGCGATTTAGTGAAATTTAATTCTCCGCATGATCATACTATAGAATTAATATTCGACACGCAGTCCCTTTAATACACTTCAAGTGTACTAGTGTTACTTTTAACTATTTCTGTGATAAGAACAAATCACAAACCTGAATAGTGAATCGGTCAACACTACAACCTTCCAGTACAAGGTGCCAACTCTTATATGGGTTGTGAACAAATTATTTATGATCAAAATATAAGTTGTGTCACACTGTACTTCTCAACGCAAGTATCCAACTTATATTATCTCAAATAATCATAGGCACTTTAATTTGAATACTCAATAATAAATAATGTAATAAATAAAACCACAAGTTATTTATAATAAATGATTATTTTATCATAGCAAAATATACTATATGGGCACACAACCCAACAGCAGCGGAGAAACATCACACACTAAAACATGGCCATACAAGAACTTCTGATGCAAATGTAGAACCAGGGAGGTTATCCTACTTCTCCCTATGCGCCCTAAGAACAATACCAGCAGGAAGACGAGGTTCAAAGCCAACGAACCACATCTTCTAGGCATGGTAGGGGAGTTAGCCCCATTGAAAGAGAAGTAGAAGTTGATATTTTCTCGAACTATGCTTCCGGTCGACCCATCGAGGTCCCATACAACATGGAGGATAACTTCCCACCAACATATGAGCCAATCGCATATTTGATAGAATTAGCCCAATCGAACCGAGGCACTAGCAACAACAACAGCTTCGTAAGCCTTGCATGAGGCCAAAACCCCCCACTTTCTACAACTCAAAAGCCAGAGAAAAGGCATGAAAATATCCTCGTGTTGATCCACCTAAGAATAGGCGCAAAAGGAGAGAAGAGGAGGCTAGGAACCAAGCAGGTTCTTTTCATCCACCACCTAGATATGAGGTTGATGAGAACAATGATTCAAATGAATAGCAGAAGTCTTGTGACTTGGACGATGATGATGAAAATCTATCATTTTCAAGAGAACTGAGGAATGCACAGGTACCTAGCCACGATGTCATGCCGAAGATACCAAAATACGATGGGAGAAGCGACCTGAAAAAGCATTTGAGTACTTATAAGATTCACATGAGCCTAAGAGGTGCCACCTTAGTGGTGAAATGCAAAGCCTTTCACATGACACTTGGTGGAGCAGCTAAAATTTGGTACAGTAGGCTACCACCTGGGAGCATAAAGAGTTGGCGAGAATTCAAAATCACTTTCTTGAAGAGGTTTGCTATGAGTAAAGAAGCAGAGGTCCCCATCCAGGGTCTCCAAGATGGAACTAAATTTCATCAACCAACTTGCAGGGATTTAACCCCAGTCAATCTGCCATTACAAGAGGAATTATTGGAGTGTTTGAATTACACAACAACAGCACTCATCACTCACCCGAGAACAACCAGAAAACTCTCAGAAAGTTTACACAGATAGTTGCTGAAGTTGTCTACAGAAAATTCTCTCTCTCAACCTCACTTTCTCTTAACTACAGAATGTGTTCCCCCACATTCTTACGTTCTCAGACTTGCTCACATTCTTAGGCTCTCAGCCCTCTATCCTATTTATAGGCATAGGAATGTAGAGATTTACAAGAAAATACATCTAATATTCAGCTACAACAACTACCAGAAAATTAGTTAGAACCAAAGGCTCCTAACTGATTTTCTAACTCACTAACTAATCCAACTAATGAGTTTAATAACCGAATCAAGAATCAAAATTTAAAACTCTTAGAAAGTTTACACAGATAGTTGCTGAAGTTGTCTACAGAAAATTCTCTCTCTCAACCTCACTTTCTCTTAACTACAGAATGTGTTCCCCCACATTCTTACGTTCTCAGACTTGCTCACATTCTTAGGCTCTCAGCCCTCTATCCTATTTATAGGCATAGGAATGTAGAGATTTACAAGAAAATACATCTAATATTCAGCTACAACAACTACCAGAAAATTAGTTAGAACCAAAGGCTCCTAACTGATTTTCTAACTCACTAACTAATCCAACTAATGAGTTTAATAACCGAATCAAGAATCAAAATTTTCTCTAGACCCTTCTCTCTCTCTCTCTCTCTCTCTCTCTCTCTCTCTCTCTCTCTCTCTCTCTCTCTCGTTAATTAAAACCGTGAAAAGTGATGCACTTCAACTAAAAAATAAAAACAAAAAGTTGAGCTTAATGTCAAGAAGAAAATGAAAATGTTGTGGATAGAAGTGCAAATGCAGGTTTACTTTGAGGACAGTTCATGCAATTTATCCTTTTTAATTCAAAGATCTTATTAGGTAAATTCAAACAAAATTTCAACTACTGAGTGCTTTTAAGTTACATTTGGTCCACGAGACTAGTTCGTATAAAGAATTTATAAAATCACGGAATGTTAAAAAATTATCTGGATAAAGTTTATTGGGAAGAAAATAAAAGTTTGTGATTACTCATTTTGTGCAGGCAATCTACGTATTGTCAAATCCAGATGGAAATATGAAGCTTTATCAATTTGTAATGATATTTGGTTGCCTAATGTTGATTTTAGCTCAAATCCAATCTTTTCACTCCTTAAGGCATATCAATTGGTTCTTTAGTACCATGCCTTGCCTACAGCGCCTGTGCCACTGCTGGATCCATCTACATTGGTATCTCACATCAATAACCCAATATTTGTTACTTAGAATTAGATATAATCATGAAATTTTGTTGACATTCTTCTAAAATATATCAGGAAGTTCGTCTAAGGGGCCAAAGAAAGATTATTCTCTTAGCAACGAGGATGATATTCGAATTTTTGGCATTTTTAATGCATTGGCCATAATTGCTACCACATTTGGAAATGGGATTATTCCAGAAATTCAGGTTTTCCATTCACCAATTGTGGATTTTACTGTCACCTAGATTGGTGTTAATCATAACCGTTGATAAAATATCATTTTTCTATGTAAATTCCTATTCCGATGAACTGAAAAGATTTTATTATACTGTAGGCAGCATTGGCTCCACGGTTAAGGGGAAGATGTTCAAGGGATTATGTGTTTGCTATGGTGTAGTGGCAGTGTGTAGTGACAATTACTTTCTTCAGTGTAGCCATTTCTGGGTATTGGGCATTTGGCAATCAAGCTGATGGCCTAATTCTCACCAATTTCATGGATGATGGCAAACCTTTAGTGCCAAAATAGTTTATTCTCATGACCAATGCTTTCACTATTCTCCAGCTATCAATTGTTGCTGTGGCAAGTACCTTGCATAAACACGAACAATGCTACATGTACATACAAATTGCATAGATAAGTTTACAGAATGCCACATGGGAATGTTTCACTGGATTTTGGACAAAAAAACAAAGTTAAAACAGCCAATCAGGTGCTGAAAAATGTTTGTGCAATTTATCTACAGGTATCATCTATGCATCAACATGAACACTACATCTAGAATTTTCCTATATTTTTGTTTACATCAATTGTGTTTGGTGCAGGTCTACTTGCAGCCCACAAATGAGGTGCTCGAACGAACGTTTGCAGACCCTAAAAGTGGCGAATTCTCACTGCGTAATGTTGTGCCAAGAGTGATATCGAGGTCACTCTTGGTCATTATAGCAACAACTATTTCAGCCATGTTTCCATTTTTCGGTGACATCAATGCAGTGATTGGGGCTTTTGGTTTTATACCACTAGATTTCGTCCTTTTTTGTTTTTTCGTCAACCTAACATTTAAACCATCTAAGAAGGGTCTTCTTTTCTGGTTAAATGTCACAGTAGCCGTGGTTTTTGTCACATTAGGAGTCATAGTTGCAGTTGCTGCAGCGAGACAAATAAGTCTTGATGCAAAAACATACCGATTATTTGCTAATGTATGATCGTACGGGGCACTTTTATACAGCGTTATATGATAAAATTGTAACAATTTTCTTATTTCATCACCATTCGAGTGTAGTCATTCAATTCAATATACCAAACATTCCATATAAGTTCAATTCAAGGCATAAAGACAAACGATAAAAACACCATCTGGCATGAAAATGTAGCCAATATTTGCAGCTCAAGAAGCTAATGAAGAAAACTCCTAATTCACTAGTCTACTACCAAATCTTTAAATGTGAAGAAAGATAAGACTGCTCTTGGAGTTCTTACAAAGATGGTGGAAGGGGGATGTAAGGAGATGGCAGGCGTGGGAGTTGTTCATGTGGAGAGACTATTTGTGCAAGAGTAGAACCAGCATCAACGTCTGACATAACATGTTCTGAGGCTAGCTCAGAGGGTCTTGTGGAATTCCAATCAAAAGGCTGAATTGAAGTATGATTTGGGTCGCGACCGTTGATGATGTTATGTGCTGCATCACTTGTTGGAGCCGTGGCCGGAGTAGTTGTGATATGGTTCTCTTCAGAAACGAATAATTTGTTTCCTTTAGGTAACGTTGTTGCTGCTACACCATTATTAGGCCTTGGAGGTTCAATGAGATACCTACGCTTCATTTTCTCCCCCATGTTTTGCTTGAAAGCTGCTATTACGAGCTATAAAAATGAAGAGACAAAACCTTCACATAAATCTCAAACTGGGAAATCAAAGTCAAATTACATAAATCTTAAACAGAATCATCAAAACGTAATTGCACAAAAGTATTGTTTCATAAAAGTTCTATTAGCACATTATTAGGGCCAACAAAAAACCAAAATTAACAAGTGAAATTCTTTGTGACAAGTGAAGCTTACTTGAGTTGGCCCAGCTGCGATTAGTAGACCTGCTACACGGCCACCAAAAAGACGCCCTTCAGGAGTAGCTAACTGAACACTCAAAAGGGCAACTTTGCGGCGCACACCCCCCATTTCATTATATGCATATGATCCTGTTAGAGTTTCAATCTCGAATTGACCCTGAAAGAAAAGAAGAATGAGATATAAATAGAAATTAATGCGAACCCTTCGTGAAATATGTGAAAAGGTAACATGCAGAATAAGTAAAGAGATTATGCTGCCATTCAGACGCTCTTTCATTGCTACTTACTGGTCATAGATACATAGCAGTAGCATCCACAGATCATTAGTCGCTTAAACAACAAGATCTTAATTTGTTCTATCATATTTATTCTCACGGGTTTTAAAAAATAAGGACTATATGACTATTTCCTCCAAAATATGTTATCTGTCATAACTGCTTCTTGAGCTCTTTCAGGGTAAGAAGGAATAGAGAAAAAGTTTTGAGCCAATGGCCAAGCTCCAAGTGATACGTAATACCCAATACTCCCAACAATGGATTCAATTCCATACTAATCTGTAAGTGGTAATAAAGGCTTGGTGGTTTTCCAGCTCTTTGAAGAACTAGAGCACTTTGCTCAAGAGAAACAAGTTATCCAACTTATCTATCCAGCTTTTTCCTCTTAAAACCCAAGCATGATAAATGAATGTGATGACTAATTCTCCCTTGTGCCGAAAAAAAGAAAAGAAAAAAAGACCGAACAATTAGAATTAACAGATCTCTTTTAATTTTTGAGTCTCCAAGGGCCATAAAAACACTGGATTCTGAGTGGTGAGTTCATCTTGTGTTTATTATGTGCAGTATTTGTGGCCTTTTCTATATAAAAACTGCTTTGATATTAGGGCTAAACAATTCTAGTAAAAAGATCCTTGACAAGTTAATGACATCTTTTGGTTTCAAGACCAACAAGCTCATAAGAGGTTCAAAGATGCTTTTCATTTCAACTGTACTCTCATTCAGAAATAGGGAAAATCAGCTGAGAAAAATGGTCCTTCACAGCATGAAGACAACTTCTGGCTCCAAGAAGAACAAGTTGGTCCATGAAAACTTTTGATTTTTATAGTGAACATTTGAATCAAAAACTACTAAAAATAAAATAAAAACTCATGACATATAAAACCAAAAAGCAAGAATTGCATCTCTTTTGAATGGAAGCCTCTTCAAGTCAGCCACGCACTTTTCTACCTCTATTGCAGTGTCAGTCAATAGCATCGTGGTCATCTTGAACATATTTTCAGTTTCACTATCTGCCTCATAAATCTCTCCCACTTTGTTCTACAATAAGATTCTCAAATTGCTTCTTAGAGGGCAACAAAACAATCTTCTTACCATATCACCAAAATATGTATGTTATCTCTCCCTATGTAAGTGGCATCTAAATCATAGCACCATGTTCACAGAAAAATTACTTGACAATTATTCATTTCTACCACATCAATATGACCACATCTTTTTAGTGCTTTTAATTAGAAAGTGAAATTTTGCATACCCCAACCTTTGTACACTTTTATAATCCACACAAGCTTGTGCTGTAATGAGTGTTTTTTCGGTTTTCAAGTTTAAAGCTTTCGTTAATGATTTGAACACCATATTCTCAGTGTCACTCAATCTATCATGCTCTTGCATAATTTGTTGATGGTGCATCAAGTTCTAAAAATCTTGTCAAGATTCAAATTGGATATGTCAATTGAAGATTAATAAACTCATCATATAATGAAAGCAATGTGCTTCATTACATATCCTGCTTAGATCTTCGATAAGTCCATGATAAAACTTGTTTCTTACTTCATCCAACAATGGGGGGTCATGTTTCTAAAGAAGGATGTTATTATGATGAAGTATTGGAAATTGGAACACTTTATCATGCCAAAGTAGATTATTGCCCATAGGTAAACCAATACCAATTTGGTGCACCAGCAGAAAAGATTTTGTAAGCAAGAGAAAAGCTTAGAAGCTTAAGATTTTCAATAAAATATCCTAAAAATAAAGAAAACTAGTACCCTACTTTTAATAGAACTGAAAATCCCATCAATAAAACTAATAAAACTAATAAAAGGAATACATTATAGTTGCTAGCATAAATCACCAAAATCGACCTTATCAAAAATAGAGAGACAGTGGCTTGTCTGTGGAAATTATATCCTCATATATAATGGGAATTAGAGGGTCCTCATCGGATGAATTTGTAATACACATTACATAGCAGGTAAATGAAAAGGGGGGAAAAACTTTGGGGCAAGTGAAATAAAAGAGATAACCTTCTTAGAGAATGAAGCAAACTCAAATCCGTGATGCTTCTGTGTGGCTACACAGATGAAATATACATAGCTGGAATAAAGAGCCCTTGGTAATTTTATAGGGCCCAAGTTAATCAGCAGTAACATAACGTCAAAAGATAAATAGCAAAAATAAATGTATATATAGTATCATACCTCATATCTTATGATGCCATCAAAAGAACTAGAATGACAAATTTCTGCAATGGAGACAGTGCCAGAAGCTGAAATAATGAAAGTTGATGCAGAAGTCCTTTGAGAAAATGACCACATATGTTGAGAGATATTCTGCAGAATAAAAGACGGTGTTTCTTTGTGACAATTACTAGTGAAAAAATGCGCAAACGGATGAAAAAGATACTTTCACAAGTGAGGATGGTAATAAGCTCTTGGTTCTGAGAAACTTTACCTCGCCTGTTTGAAGAGTAACCACATGAGGAATGAAGTCACTTCCAGCAGTGTCCACAGCTTCCCCTCCTTCATTAAAAAAAGGGTGAGAATGTGAGACGGCAACTCCTAATTAACAATCTTTGAAAGTGCTGGTTTGAAAGCACAATAATCCAAAGCCTGTTTAATGTGTTTTTGTGTTATTGAGTTTCAGGTTGTCCAGTTTACAAAACTTCACATTTTCACATTATAACACCATAATCAACAAAAAATAATGGTCTAGGAGAATTGTGTGTTAGAATTAAAAAGTATTGTATTGTCGTGCTATTTAGACTGTCTAGGTACATAAATATCTGTGAAAGACTAACTGAAACCAAGTCATCTTCAACTAAGTTCACGATTTGAATTTCTTCATTGATCATAAAAACCATAGAAACAGAATTGGCAAAGATGATAATTATTCAGAAAAGTTCTGCTTTTTCCTTTTGTTGAAACAAGAATTCGTTTGACAAAGAGATCACATTAAATCTAAAAATTTCAGAATGTTAAAGTTGATGCAAGTTGGATGAGGATTGTATTTGCAATTAAGAGAAAGCATTGACTCGATGATAGGTAGAATGTCTTCAGCAATTTTCATTCTCGAGTATTAGAAGGATAACGAATTCAAAATAATATACACTGAAAAAATAATGATGTGTCATGTACTCAAAAAAGGGCTGATTTCCTTTTCACCATCATTGTAATCTCCATCAGCATATGAAACAATAATCTTCATGAATAAGCCACTTTAGCACAACAAATGCACAGAAGAAAAAAATTTCCCATACAGTTCACCACACTATTGATAACTCAGTGCGCCCCTACCCTACTCAAGATTGGCATTTTCCTGATTGTTGGCATATTTAAAATGTCACTTACGGATGTTTTATATGCAATCAAATGTTTTTATATGAATTAAAACTTTACAAGAATGATGTGACATGTAATATGTAATCATTTTTATAAAATCCCAATAACTTTTTGGAATTAATCTATTACACAGAATTATGAAAATCTATCTGAAAAAGTAAATAATTAACCAATCTATACGTGCATCCTAGAAACAAACATCTAAATAATAACACAATCGAAAAAACCCCAAAAAGCAGCTATTCGCAGCCAAGTCATAATAACTGCAAATAATCTTCATGAGTAAGCCACTTTTGCACAAGAAATGCATGGAAGTTCTTCCAATGTAGTTCATCCCTCGTGTCCCCAACTGTGCTCAAGATTGGTATTTTTCACCGCTTGTGTGTGTACTTAAAAAGACACTTATGGAAGTTCTTCCAATGTAGTTCATCACTCTATCGAAAATTCCCCATGCCCCTACCATGCTCAAGATTGGTAATTTTCAATGCTTGTGTGCGTACTTAAAAAGACACTTGTGGAGTTCTTCCAATGCCGTTCATCATTCTATCGAAAATTCCCCATGCCCCTACCGTACTCAAGATTGGTGTTTTTCACCGCTTGTGCTCGTACTTAAAAAGACACTTATGGAAGTTCTTCCAATGCCATTCATCACTCTATCGAAAATTCCCCATGCTCCTACCGTACTCAAGATTGGCATTTTTCACTATTTGTCTATGTATTTAAAAAAGACACTGATAGACGCTTTATGCAAAATTATCGTTGCATATTATCATCAGCATTGTCTATGGTAGTCAATGTCAATAAACAAACAAATGAAAAATAATCAAATAAAATACAATGAAAAGCCAATTAAAGAAACATTTTAGACAATAAAAGTCACAAGGTATTAATCAAAAAAAAAAAAATTACCAATTTTATTGCACAGTACAATTCATAACCAATTAATAAAAATAATACTGACAATAGCAAATCACAAATTTATGTCCATGCATGTTTCCAAAGGTGAAAATTATATTAAATTGATCAATTAGATTAAAATTTACCTAAAGAAGCCGCCAATGTTTGCCACTTGCCGGAACCCTTGGGACGGCCCCTACCCCGTTTTGGAGGGGCAGAAGACTCCGGTGAAATCAAGAATTCTTGCTTCAATTCCGGTAGCTGCTTTTTGGGCCTTCCTCTTTTTCTTTTGGCCGGTAAGTCCACTTCTGAACCGCCTGTAACACTCATCGCCGACTCCCCCGGTTCTCCATTGCCACCATTGTTCAAATATTCCTCCGTTCCAATGGCCGTAACCGCCACCTGCTCTGCCGTCCCTGCCATCACACGTGTCAAAATGCTATGATTGTTTTGTTCTTCCATGAGAATGCCGCAATCTGAAAAATAAGAAAATTCAACCGGTTAATAAAAAAATTGGGCAAAAATCAAAACTGTATAATCGAGAAGCCATGCATGCATATATAGACAGATATATCTCTTTAAGTCTACGAAAAGAAGATCGTTTACCACCGAAGGCGAGAGATTTATTATTATTATTTTTTTTCAGAAAACTATTTTTTGGTTTTGCCGAAGAAGAAAATAGGAAGATTTAGAGGTTTTAGAACTGAAATTCTAGTCTAACATAATAATGGCTAAAACGGCTGTAGGTACGTGTTTTATGAGGGGGGAGTCACCTGATATTCCAAAATGCCCCCTCAGAATCTTTATTATTTTCCTCATTTTTAGGTGGACAGTTATATACGTGCCCATGGTAAAGTCGTCCATTCAAATTACTACATCTCAAATAAATAATGTTCTTCAAAATTATTTTTTTATGTTATTAATTAAGTGGACGATTTTATATACACACGTGATAGAATTGTTTATTCAAATCATGCAAGGACGGATACATGATTGGATTCAAGATCGGGCTACAAAATTTCAAACCAAACTACTATACGAAAAAAAAAAATTTACACATAAAAAATTGATTTTTTTATAAAAATAAATAAATAAATAATACCTTAAAAAAAAGCTCTTGGACCTGAGTGAGAGGTGGCCTATAGCCCTGCCCAACCCCCCCTCCATCCGTCTCTGAAATCACAATATGTTTTAAGTGAACAATTCTACTACACGTAGATATATGGCGTCTACACAAGTTTTTTCTGGAACCAAGGATATTAGGTTTTAAAATGGACTAATTAGGTTTTTTTTTTTTAATTATCTTTCAAGATTTAAAAACAAAATAAAGAAGGAAAATATGAACTACAAATAAAATACAATATTAAATAGAATATTTCATTTTCCGCAAAATAAATGGAAATGAAATCATGTATAATTCTTTTAACTATAAAAATCATTGTCAATATTGTATTTAATTAGTCCTGTATAGTCTCAATTGAAGTATTTTTATAAATAAAATAATATTCATCCAGTCATAGATAAACATAGTTCTGCACACAATCTGCACATGTATTGGGTGTAACATAATTACTACTAATAATATTTGAAGAATTATTGTTTATATAGCATTTTCTTCTATTTTCCCAATTTCATTTCGACAAAAATCAAAATATGATCGAAAGAAAAAATCTCTACTTGAGAAGTACCCATTGTCGCCTATAGTGGTTATGGACTCCATCAATGATAAATAACATCCACTTATAGAAAAAAGAAATAAAAAAAATAAGGATTTGAATTCGAGTGAAACTCGAACAACGAATGTTGCCATTTCAAGTCATGCACTATAGAAATTATCTAGCCTTGATAATGTGGCAGCTTTGTGATTCACAACATTCCATGTTATCCTCTCAACAAGGTCGACCTTTACAAGAGTACTACTTAAATGACAACTTAAATGACAACCGTTTTTGTATTACCCAAAAAATAATAATAATAATAATAATAAATAAAAATAAGGGAAGCTAGAGAGAGAGGTAATATGTATTTTGTTGCTGAGTTTTCTTTTCGTGTTTGATAGATTATGTTGAAAAGATGAACCAAAGAATCAAATGAGAAAAAATCCACTACCCAAGCGAAAGTTATCTAGAGCAAAAAAATGTAGCAACCATCTCTGTTTCACCTGTTTCTTGCTTCAAAAACCATACTTTTTCTTCTA